CTCAAAATTTTAGTGAAAAAATACCGGAATCCAGCTAACATACATTAAGGTTTAAAAAAGAATTACTTGAGAACGTAATGATAATTTGACATGTTCAGCCGAAAAACAAAAGTTTTTAGCTGGAAAACAAAAGGAGAAATCTTTTAGGTATAAGTCGATTACGGGTCGGGTACGGGTTGGGTACGGGTACACAGTTCTCGGGTCGGGTCGGGTACGGGTACAAAGTTGTCGGGTCGGGTCGGGTACGGGTGGAAAAAAAATTTTCGGATCGGGTACGGGTACGAAAATGGTACCCGTGCACATCTCTATTTTATTTGTCTTAGTTTTGTCATGTAAAATGTATTTTTTCTCACATGACAAAACGACGGACGGTAGTTCTCCTCCTGTAAGCTGTGTTCTTCGCATTCTTTTCTCAATTTGTACAGAAATAACTATATGAAGTACAATGAAATAGAAATCTAGAAAAACTGAAAAACCAAGATACTGAGTCAAGCGAGAGCTCCAGTATCCTATCCGTTTAGCGTCACTCCAACTTGTTGGAGTTTGCCCAAAACAGAAGACATTTGAATGAATTTGATTTTTGACTACAGCATGCGTTCATGCACCAGGACATTGTTAAAAACTCAAGAGGTTTCAGACAAATGACGAGGGAACCTCTTCAACTCGAAAATCGCTGTTTTGCTAAAAAATAAATGGACAATAGGTTATCCATCATGCTAATTCCGAATGTGAACATGACTTTTGCGGCTAGATCTTCCAAGATCTGGTTTTCTGCAAAACCAGTTTTTCAAGAACTCTAAAAAATAACCAGAGCCTTTCTTAATGAGGCATGATTGTAGCCCAAAATTTCCGATTAAAAATGAGACATCTCCCAGCTTGATACGACCTTGCTTTGCACAGTTATAGAATTTATAAGACAAGCTCTAAGTTAATTTCTTCTTATTTCTGTAGCTTTGAGCTGATAATGAACATTTAGGACATTTTTCAATGACATGAAGAAATACAAAAAGCCTGACTTAAGTTTTTTGCTTAAAGTTAAGCAAAAACCTAAGTGTAGTTTTTAGGTGTCTTAAGCTAAGTATCGTACGCGAAACCCACTAAATAAAATATAAGTAGTGGAAAAAGAAAATATAGAAGATAGGTATCCGTTCGTCGATGCTTGTACAATTGTGAACTGAATAACTCGAAAAGAAGGAGAATGTCGAGAACATTCTACTTGAATCATTTTTGAACTGTTTTTAACTTATTTTATAAATACAGTGAGTCATCATCTTTTTTTCCTTCTTGACCTTAGTTATTGTTAAGGAAGAACCTATGATTCTATATGGTCGTAAAGTTACAAAACATTTAACATTAAACAACGTACGATCTCGCTACGGTCACCCCCTCATTCAAGTGTTTTTGAAGAAGATCATAATTTAGTCGAGAGAAGTTGACTCTCATTTGATTTAGAATGCAATCATATTTACGCTCACTGAGTTTAAAACGTGGCCACTTGTAGTTTGGAAAAAAGAACTCATAAATTTTCATTCGAAATTTTTTTAATTTTATTATGTTTTGCAGTTCGACAGGCAATATGTTCCATTGTCTCACAACCCAAGGAAAAAAAGTGTTTTTGAATTTTTCTGTGCGAGTACGAAACACGTTTACTTGACCTCTCTCTCTTGAGCGTAAAGATGTAGTAACAATTGGTTGTTTAGGAATACGTGTAGAAAGAAAAGTGGGCGTGAGCCCGTTTTTTATTTTGAAGGAAAGAATTACTTTGTTAATTGCATAGATGTGTTCTAATGGAATCCCGATCAAGTTGTTCAGACGATCATATACTTCATTATTCGCCCTCCATCCCCATCTATTCTGAGTTGTATTTGAATTCAATGGTGGAAACTCCTTAATACCTTTCTCTTGTACAAATCCTTGTTGTCGTTGCTGTTGTTTATTTTTGACATATGTAGATGAAGATAACAATGATTTTGTTAATTCTGTACGAAAGGTTTCAATAGTTGAGCATCTCTAAGCGCTTAAATCATGATTATTATTACATCTAATGCAATGTGGCTGTTTATCACAACCTTCTTCTCTATGTTTTTTAATATCATCCACTTCCAGTCCCCATATCCTGCATTTATCCTTTTCATATTTACAAGTACTCCGAAAATGTTCGAATTCAAAACATTTTGAATAAACCAGAACTTTTGCTGGAGCAAAATATTCGCTCACCGCCTGTCGTGTGCTATTAATAATAACGTGTTTTCGTTTGAGTAGGTCACCCATAGTTTTGATGCTTTTAACTTCTAATGGAGCCATTGTTGTTGGTGGATTATTTTTATCAGTGGAACGACGGAGATTGATAATGTCTGGAAAATCATTTTGTAAATCATTTAATATTTCATTATCTTGAATATCTAATGTTACATTACAGATAAGTAACGAAAACTGCAGTAGAAGCCGACGGGGTAACGAAGTGCTTGCTGAGAGATCAGATCAGTATTTTGACCATTGTTATAGGTGTTTCGCCGATAAGGTTGTTGATACATTGATACAGAGTTTCGACGTTGGAAACGTGGACTAGGTAATTGACGATTAGTGGTAGAACGATGTGCATTCGAAGGAGGTGAATCATTGGTTTGACGTACCTCATCATTACTGGCACTTACATTATATTTGACTGGTGATCAATTACCATATTAATTTCTTCGTCAGTTATATGATATTGACGTGACAAAAGAGAAGAGAGAAAAGAACGCTTATAATATGTCGATGATGATGAGGGAGCAGCACGAGATGAATCATGGTGCAACAAAACGGATGATTCATTTTGTTTATTCGTCATTGCACCGCATTGCTACTGTCGCTATAATTGTTGGTTTGTATCATGAATAAGAACACTTGATGCAATTCCATTAGAAGTATATGGAGACGGCGTTTAACGAGGATGAACAGGGTATTGTAATGGTTCTTGATGTTGTACTTGAAAATTTTCTTGCGAAAGAGTAGGATGAGGAAAAAATTGACCAATTCTCATGTCAAAAGTACCATATAGTAAGTTGTTAGCATTCCAGACTATTGAAGCTGTTACATAGCCTTGCTGGGAGGTCATCACTGACATTCGTGTTGTTTACTTTTACCACAAATTTCAAACACGTGGTCAAAGCTTATATAGAAGGAAAGAAGAGGAAGAAACTTACTACTACAACTATATGTCAATCAATCAATAGGTTTTTATTTGAACACGAATGTGTGTAGGCTGTTACAAAAAAGGGAAACTTAAAAGAATGTAACTCCTATATAAGGAAAAGATTAAAAAAAGCAAAAAAAGAAACAAGGGAATGTTGCACATAAAAAGAAAAAATTTGAAACGGAGAACTACATGTTCTAATTACCGTTGTAAAAACTACATATTTAAATACAGTCTAAGCCTTCGCCTAAATGCTCCTATGGCAAACTGGGATATCACGGATCGCGGCAAGAGGTTCCACTCAATACATGTGAGGAGAAGAAAGGGTGAGTGAAAGGGGTTGTGTGAGAGAGCGCTGTTTCCTATTATAATTTTATGAAAATGTAACAAACGAAAATATTTTCGTCGTTCACTTAAGTCGGGAAAATTTAATTTGTTCATTAGTAATGAACTGATCGTTTCATAGCCATTACAAATTATCCTGGCTGCCACCTTTTGAACAGAGACTAGTGGATGTAGATGCATTTTTGCAGTATCATAAACAACAGAACAATAGACCATGACTGGCATTATGCACGTTTCAAAAATGTGAAGACGAGGAGAAGATGATGCGGTGTTAAATGCACGGTGCATTGTGCCTGACATCTGTCTACACTTTTTGGCTACATTAGAAATATGATATTTCCATGTTAGATTATGCGATAAAAAAACTCCTAACAACTTAATATTGTTTTCCTTGACCAGCGCCTGTCCTGATAAAACGAGGGGACTTCCTAAAGTAGAAGGCGGTGCAGTTGTTGAAAAGGGCATAAAAACGCACTTATCGATGTTTAATTTTACTAGCATTTTGTCACACCAATCAGACATCGCATTTAGGTCATTTTGAGCATTTACCAAATTAGTAAAATCGTGTACAGGGACAAGAAGAAAAACATCGTCGGCAAAAAGACAAACAATTGTTGAAGGGGGAAAAATGCTGGGGAGGTCATTGATAAAAATGAGGATGGGACCTAATATACTTCCTTGAGGAACTCCTGAAACTGCAGGTACTGAACTGGATCGCTTATTGTTCACAGAGATAGGACTTGAACCACTGGTAGAGTGGCCCATCGATACCTGCTAGGGACAATTTTGTGAGTAGTAACTGATGGGGTACCCTGTCGAACGCTTTTGAGAAATCAAACGCCATTTCTATGACCTTATTTCTCTTTTCAAGATGCTTACTCAACTCATTGGTGACATGAAGGAGTGCATCAACAGTACTAGATTTGAGACGGAAGCCAAACTGTACAAGAGAAAGAAATTTGTTTGCTCAAAATGACGTAGGAGTACTTGTTGAACTAACATTTTGAAAACTTTACTGACGTTCGATAATAACGAAATCGGGCGATAATTGGAGCAGAGTAAACGAGATCCTTTTTCATGAACTGCCTTAATCAAAGCCGATTTCTATAACTCGGGAAAAGTCCCATTTTCTAACGGTTTCTTAAACACAAAATGTAACTGTGGTCCTAGTACATCAGCGCAGAGCTGAAGAAATTGAACGGGAACTCCGTCAATCCCCACAGATTTTTTCTTTTTTAATGATTTTATCGAAACTATGACTTCAACTACCAAACATTCAAAAGTTGATAAAAATCTTTGTTTGAGTTGATTTTGATTTGAGGGAGGAGGCAGGGGGCCTACGTTTGATAAAAAGCATTCCCGAAAAAACTCAGAGAACGTGTCAGTTTTCGCTTGGTCATCACTTGCAGTGGACTTAGCATGGATAATTATGGCAGGATAGTCTGAGTAGTATTTTCTAATACGATTTAAACTAGTCCAATAATTTTTGGGATCGGACGACAGCGACTGAATGTTTTTAAAATGGTTAGCTTCATCCTTGCGAACTGATGCTATAACCTTATTTCTTAACTTTTTATACGATTCTCTATTTGCTTTTGGCTTACGTTTTCTTTTCTGAAGTAATTTATTGCGCTCCTTAATCAAATTAATGGTAGCTTTCGATGCTTTAAACAAAGGATTTTTCTTACTACTCGAAAATTAGTTTTTTTGGTACATAATTTTCGATACATTTAGGAACGTGTTTTAACCATAGATCCAATGCTGAGTCAACGTTATTTGAGAGAAAAAACATAGGTTCTATTTCCGACAGAGCGCGCCCAAGGGCTTGCTGGTTACAGTTTACACAATCCGAGACATACTTTAAAGGAGTTACTATGGAAGGGGTAGCTAAATGGAACTTGCTGACAAGCACAAAATGGGAGGATTTTCCAAGTTCGGGTTCCACTTCGGTGTTTGGCAGTTGCCAGTGTTTTGGGTAGAACTGATCACCTGTGTGGTAAACTGCCTGCAAGCTGCAGGTAGTGCAGGCAGGTTGCAGTTTGCAGGTGAATAAAAAAAATTTCCACTAACGGCCGGCAGATAAAGAAGAATGTTTTCCTGCCTGCACTGCCTGCAGGGGAGAAGATTTTACCTGCATTCCCTGCAGGGAAAGACGTTTTTGTGTGGAGAATGAAAATAGAGAGAAGACGAAGATAAATACTGATCACACTGAAGGTCAGAATGATCTCTTAACGAAAAGAAACTAACTAACAGTTTTTTTTGTATATCTACTAGACACTTTAAGATGAAGGAGAGAAACGTTTTATCCGTAATCGCTTATATCATTTGATATGTCATTTTCCTCTAATATAATGGCCTAGACCGCATTTGCGTAGAATTCTTATTTCTCTTTCTTAAATGAATAAAGTTTAAACTAAACTGAACGAAAAATATAGAATAAAGAAAAACAATGAATTTCGTTCTTATTGTATGTAATGTTTCTTTTAGTATGCGCACTAGGTATAGTATATAGAAGATGACAAAAGACTATAACTATAACAGAAAGAGAAAAATATAGAACCAGGATAGTGAATCGTAACTGGTGATACAGTCTATAATTATCAGTGTGTAATACAGACTGATAGTGGTCAGCAGGAAAAAAAATTGGTATATCCCGACTTAGGGTATAAGAGTTTTCTCTTTTGAGGATGTTGCAAAACAGATAATCATCAAAATATTTGATCCTGCTTTCAAAAATTCTGTAGTTGACAAGAAAAGGGATCTCGCAGTCTATCATTTCACAAATCAATTCTCACTATATCTCTTATCGAGGTTTCTCACCCACGGATGGTTCGAAAAAAAAATCGACTTTTGAATCACCCATTGAGAAGCATCACTTATACGTACACTGTTATGGAAACTGATCACTAGACAAGAAACTGTTCCATCGGTGATCTGAACCCGCGACAGCGTACGAGGGTGGTACTGCATCCTATAGGGCATTATCACAGTCTCATTTACCAAAACCAAATATTTTTCGTTCGAATCCACCACTGAGACACGCACCGTGTTTATTACGATGATGGCAAACTAATAAAAGGCTTTTGACTACCATGAATAAATGATCCAAGGTTTCAAAAGAGTCTTCTTTCAATATGATTGCGTGTAAGCTGTCGCTTATCAGACATAATAAACTGAAATGAATATAAAAAGTGATACATGTATCATAAATTTTTACAGCATATCCAAAACAGAATACACCAATAATTCTTTCAAGTGTGATGCTAATAAAGATGAAGACACTCAAGTAGAGAAAAGAAGCAACGTGATTGGAGTAAATCCAAGCATAGCAAGGGTAAAACTTTTGTGCGTGGTGCAACTCGTCGATGACTATATAAATCGAAAACAAAATCTGAAAGGAAACAAAAGAAGAAATATTCTGGTGTCTGCAACTGAAAAAGTCTTCCACAGCTACACGATGAGTGAGAATCCAACAGTGGCCAACTTCGAACTTTTACCCAATGAAATTCTTATCGAATGTTTTCGATATCTCAATGCTGTGGACATTTTTCATTGTTTTGATCAATTAAATTCTCGTTTCAATACACTCGTCCGACATATTCCATTATATCTCGATTTTCGAAACATTCAGTTAACAGCAACGCTGTCCTCCATGTATTCATTAAATTGTTTTCGTCTGAGTGATACCAAAATTGAACTCAGCTATATCATTCCTACATTAACATGCTCTGTAATACGAACATTAACTCTGTCTCAATTACCTGCGAAGGTAACATTTTTACGTCAATTTTCATCCCTGAGGAATTTTACTATGGATGTCTGCAATAAATACCAATTACTTCAGGTATTGAATGATATAGCTACTTTGAAATATCTTCAGGTCAATTACCTATCGAGAAATGCAGTGGAATCTGACAAAGAGAAGCGTGAGTTTACTCACTCTCTCCAACACTTGGTCATTAACAACACCGATTATGAGCTGTATGATATTGCAATGATAATAAAACACACACCATATTTAAATCTTTTTACATTGTTTGCTGATTACCAAGGGTATCCAGTGGATGCTCGGAAATGGGAACGTTTGTTACTCACTAAGTTACCTGATTTGAGGGTCTTCAAGTTTTGCTATCAATGCTTCCACAGAGAAGACGAGAGATTTCTAGAAGGAAGATTTCAGGCGTTTCAAAGTGATTTTTGGCGCAACGTACATGATTGGTTGACCGAATATACATTATCATACGATAGAGCAGTGATCTATACCGTACCCTACGCATTTTCTACATTTCAATTACACTCGGATATGAAGAGATTTCGCAACACTGCAGCAGACAACAGGAATGCATTTAGTAATGTAACAGAATTAACGATTCACACTGATCCGATCGAAAGAGATGAGCGACATTATTTTTCTGATCGTAGACCACGAAGATGGTCTTACGGTCGAGAAAATGTGCCGGAATTGCTTACAACGAACAATGTGCAATCAATGATCTGCAATTTCGCTAATGTAAAACATTTAGATGTTTCACATGTTCTTAGATTCGAAAGGCCATCAGTACTGTTAGAAATACTGAAGGAAACTAGACAATTATCGTCATTGACTATATCCTGGAATGTGCTTCAACCGCTGTTGAATGATAATCAATTATGTCAGTATTTGAACCGAATGATTCATAAATTATGTATTACGAGTGTGTGGTATTCTTCGGAGCATGATGGCATTCTACCGAGGTTCTGCGCAGTATTTTCCCATATTCAATAACGAAAAATACGAAATATGCTGGAAAACGGTTGTGCTTGGTATAATGAGTTTCCGACTGTTTCCGAAGCTCCAAATTGATTTAAACTTTCGCAGAATATTTCTCCCACTCACAATACATCTGTGCGAATAGCATAAATTAGCATAAATGATGCTGGACCGACTTATAGGTTTTCCAAAAACCTTTAGTTTTTTAGGTAACATTTTTTCTTTCAGCTCAGAAACATTTTTATTGAAAACTAATTTGATATTCAGAATCAGGGCAAAAAAACTGCATCGAATGATGTATCTTTCGAGCATTTTTGGCCGAAAAAAGTTTCGATTTAACATAATACTATGATTATAGAGCGGTTTTTCAGCAAGGACATTAAACTGCGGGTTCGCAACGATCTTAAACTAGGTTAATGGTGTTCGGTAAGGTTATGGGGCGATTATGTAGTCGGTATTCGGAATCGTACATAGCAGCGTGTGGATGAGGGTATACAGTTGGCGGCTTACCCCCAGAGGTTTCAATTGTGAACATCCCTTCTGGCTCCTTACGCAGTTTTGAGCAGCAGATAAGTCGTTCTTCCGAGGCCACAGAAACACGCTGCTATACTTTGTTGTTTTACCTGGTCACCCACCATACAAAAGGTGGTTTACTGAGAGCGCAGGGGGACAATGATATTCTAAATTCACCCACATTCTAGTGGTCCCATGCATTACGGGATAGGAACTGAGTCCTCTAGGATGCTCCGATACGCTACAATAGCCAGGCTTGCAACCCCGAGTCGCTTCTCACTGGTGTGGTGCACCGGAGTGTCTGCGGGTAGCAGTCATTCGATACGCGTGCATGGCGTGATATTCCACGGCACAGGTGAGTGGTTTCCGCGGGTACCAGACCGCTAGATGATTGTTAACGGTAGTCTAGTTGGTATTTGCGGCCGTGGTTTGCTATTCGAACTTGCTGTCAACTGCAAATGGCTACAAACACAACCAACACAATACTTAAAACTGACAACAGCGAAAACGAAACGGTTCGGTCGATTAGTTTACATAAGCTGTACAATATGTTTCTAAACGATTGTAACAAAGATCTGAATGCAACGGTTTCGAGAGTATGCAAAATTTTGGATGTCGATGAAACCAATGAAAATAAAAATACAGTTTTGTCTTTGATTGACACTCACACTGCTAAGAATAAAACTCAATTTGATACATGGCGAAGAAGGAGTGGCAAACAACGATAGAAGGAATTCGGAAGAATAGTTTTCCATAAACATGAGTTAAAACAGCGACCGAAACCACCAAAACGTACAAGTCAAGATTTTAGCGAAGTCGGAAACAAACAGAAAAAACGACGCCTATTGGGTCTGAGCGACGAACTGGATGATTTTGCTGCATCGAATAATTTGTCGGTTAATCAAGTTTTAGGATATTTATTCCACCAACGAAACTATCTGCATAACAAAGAACTAGCAGAAATCGGAAAACAATTATACGAAAACGGCGATACAAATAATACGAAAAACGAGCACGATCTCGATGAAACTATAGCGTTTAAAACGCATCTCGATATAAGCCGATATCAGATGGATTTCGTTAAATCCTTTTGTAGTCCACACATAAAAATTCCAAATAGAGAATATGTCCGAGCGCATTCCAAACAATTACTACCTATGATTGCTCCATGGAGAAATAATACGGGTGTTGTGATACAAGATCGAGAGTCTGTCATACATTTAACAGTAAAACGAATAATAGAAGTGTTACAAAAACAAAACATAAATGTACCGTCGAAACTAGAATATCGAGAGAAAACGGGCCACGATGGTGCCGGAAATATGGCTATATATAAATCAGTAAATACGCCGATGGAAAATGCTAATATATTTAGCAAAATGTTTGTTTCGCTGTCTCTTGAGGCTTCCACTGGCGAAGTATTATGGATAAACGAGTCACCGAATAGCTCACACTGGTGTCGACCTTTGGCATTAATAGCTGAGAAAGAGTCTGTGGAGTTATTATATTTCGTAAATGGTGCATTTGAGCCAGAAGAAAAGCGCTTACAAGAAGAAGGAACAACATTCGATTATAATAATACGAAATATGATTTAAAAATAACGATTGAAACGAGTATGAAAGATCTTAAAGTGCGCACAATAGAGTCGGGGTTAGGCGGTGCCGATTGTCTTCTATGTACTACGCGCTCTAACGAATGGAAAGATGTAGATAAAATTAAAAAACCGTATTTTTTTGCAGTCAATCGGACAGCCGAAAAAACGCTCGATTTGTATAATCAAATGATAAAAGACGACGGCGAAATCACTAAAAAGAAGAATGACTATGAAGCTCGACAGGGACTCACGAGTAAACCACTATCAAATACTGATCAACACCACATAACGATTACACATCAATATATTAATGGCATACAATGGATTTTAAAAATTATATATCATTTACGAGCCGATCTTTTACTATGGTCAGAACGAGGCGAAACGACAAAAGAAAGAATTAAAAAGGCGCGCGAAACTGTTTCGAATGAGATTGAATCAGGTACCGGTCTTCGTCTTGATCAGTACGATACGACTGGTTGTTCTGGTACTAGTACGACCGGCGGTCAAGGACGAAAGTTTTTCTCGTACGAAGTAAGAAATTCAATTGTTTCGACAGTACCAAAAGCGCAACAAAGTAATTTCAAACAATTAATTCAGATTTATTCAGTTATCTTAAGAGTAGTTTCGTCAACTGAACAAATTAATATAAAGAAGTTTAAGCAGCTAACAGTCGATTTCGCTTTGCTTATCGCAACTAAATTTAGTTGGATCGAATATTCGATGACAGTACACAATCTCGTATCTCGTATTTGTTTCTACGTAGTGATCCAGTAATCAATTACATTGTGCAAAGTTCGGTGGAAAACGTTCATCAAAAGAAAAAATCGTTCAGACGTGTGCCAGTGAAGATGATGGTTTGTTAAACAGCATGATAGTAGCAAAATGATTTAATATTTTTCATTACTTTTCTTTTTTTCTCGTGTCAGTTCACTTGCATACCTATTTTCGTTAAAAACAGAAAATCTCTTTATTTTCAAGTTTAGTGACTTGGCCTATTAAACCAAAGGCCAAAGGGTGATAGTGGGCACTTTTCTTGACAATACAGATACAATCAGCACATTGTAAAACATATTAAAAACTAATTTCTTGAGACTATGAACATTTTTTAGCACATGTGGTTTTTCAAGACCCTGGTTTTCTGGAAACCGGGATCCAAGCATCTTTGAGCTTCGCAAAGTATTCCGTTGGAAAGAGTACATCTGAAAACCTATTGAAAGTGTGTTTGTGGGCTTATGTATTGATTTCCGAACAAATGTCCACATGCCTACCAAGAATTGCCCACTGTGAATTAGTCGCACGGTAGAATTGGTCGCATGTTCAACATTAACTAAACAGGAATTTTGGCCAATATGCTGTCTTATGGGCTTATCAAGTAATCGAAGTAGATTAGCGTACCGTCAAAGTGGCAATTAGTTTAGAAAGGAACGAACAACTGATCAAAAAGCATATGAAATGCGTACTAAGTAGATAATCCGATTGCTCAACCGTATATATGGCTGATCAATAGAAGAAAAATCACCATTCAATTTTCTCAAACATGTCTGCTATAACTATTAGTACAACTGAGCGAAATAAACCATTATTTCAATGGTAATGATTGTATTGCTGTTTACTTAGACTTCAGCAAGGCTTTCGATAAAGTTTGGCATTCTGCTTTGCTGTACAAGTTGGAAAAAAAAGAAATTCGAGGTGCCTTGTTACAGTGGTTTCGCAGTTATTTATCTGACAGATCGATCATTACAGTCGTCAACGGCCAGACTTCTAAACCTGCAAAGATAAATCGTGGAGTTCCTCAAGGCTCTGTCTTGGGGCCTCTACTATTTTTGATATACATTGATGATTTGGCTGGCGATCTTGACTGTATAACAAGGTTATTTGTAGATGATACTGTCCTATATTTTAGCGCTAGCGTTCGGACCCAATTGGTTGCTAATGTTAATTGTACTTTATCGAAGGCACTATTATGGTCTGAAAAATGGCAACTGCCTCTTAACATCTTAAAATGCGAAGGACAGTTATTTACTAGACATTCAGATGTGAATGTAGGTATTGTAATGCTGGGCAACTCGCAACTACAGCTTGTTAAGGAGCATAAGCATTTAGGAGTTATTCTGTCGAATGATCTGAATTGGCAATCACATATCAAATACATTATGAGTAAATGTAATAAGATTTTACATGTAATGCACAAATTCAAACATCATTTCTGTACTTCTGTTCTTGACCAGCTTTATAAATCCTTTATTTTACTTACAATCACTTATGGTGATTGTATCCCAAACCTCTCCTTCATACGGCACTCTCGCGTACTCGTAGTATCAGTCAACAAAAGTCCATCAAAGCCATCGTCTTTTATTAGGCTATATATTGCATAAAGTAAATATGTATGTAAACCATAATATTAACATTGACAGCCACTCTGCAAAGGAGGATAGAACCTTAAGAGAACTGAAACTTCCCAGATGAACAAAATTTTACGAGATTGATTGCTCCTCAAAATCTGAAGAGCTAGCTCTCTCCGAGAGATACAGAGATGTCTAAAAGCTAAAGGATAGTGTATTGTGCGAAAGGCTAAAGTGAAGCTTTTTGTTCTTCTGATATATTGTGGTCTATTTTATTTTCTAGAATATCTAGACATTTTAGTTTCTTGATATTGTAGGTTTTTCGTTAGAATGAGAGAGAAATTTATATCTTCAAGAGCATAGTAGTTTTTATGAATATACAAGAGAAGGAAATTGTGCTTACAAAAAAGGTTGCGCCTGTGTGCGGATTTGAACCGCAGACCTTATCCACAGAAATCGTGGAGAACTTTTCATCCTTTCAGCTTTTCATCCATTCAGCTTTTTATCGTTTCAGCTTTTCATCTTTTTAACTTTTCATCCTTTAAGCTTTTCATCTTTTTGATTTTTCATCCTGTCAGCTTTTCATCCATTCAGCTTTTCATGTTTTTGACTTTTCATCCTGTCAGCTTTTCATCTTTCTAACTTTTCATCCTTTCAGCTTTTCATGTTTTTGACTTTTCATCCTGTCAGCTTTTCATCTTTCTAACTTTTTTGTAGATGTATCTAGTTTTTTTTCCTATGTGATGGAAACTTTATTCAAACGCCATTAGAACCACCGTTTGACGCGCTACAAAGTTATAGCCTTCTTTTTTTCTTATGGCTTTTTATGAGGGAGTACAATGTCTCTTTTCTCAAAACATCTGTAAATCTTCTACCTAGTTTTTTATCAAAAACTCATTTTTTACTCAATTTTT